CACAATTCTGTATCTTTCTGAACACCACAGCTGTTAAAAATGTCTTTACCAAGGTCAAAACTTGGACTTTTTTATGTGCCAACATGACAAGTTTTCCACATTATCACAATATCTCATGTCACACATAATTTATCTCTTCAGACACGTTACGAGCCACCAAAATGTAGTGAACTAGCTTTTAGCTTCACTAGTAGGTGGTGGTGCAAGCTTATTCCCCATACGGGCCACCAAAAAGAGGCCTAGTTCACTACAGTATTGTTTTTGTACAATTGTTTACCGTATTTTAAGTTTAGCTTGTTTCTTAGTTCATATTTTAGATCTTATTACTGTTTTTCTTTTACATTTTATACTTTTGTTGGATGTAACTGAAACCATCCATCCATCCATCCATTATCTTTACCCGTTTATTCCATTTTGGGTCACGGGGGTCGCCGGTGCCCATGTCCAGCAATCACTGTGCGAGGGGCGGGGTACACCCTGGACGGGTCGCAAGTCCATCACAGGGCCACATAGAGACAAACGAGACAAACAACTATTCACTCTCTCACTCACACCTAGGGACAATTTAGAGTTACCAATCAGCCTAACATGCATGTTTTTGGTCTGTGGGAGGAAACCGGAGTACCCGGAAAAAACCCACGCATGCACGGAGAGAACATGCAAACTCCACCCAGAAAGGCCCCTGGACCGGGGTTTGAACCAGGGACCTGCTCGTTGAGAGGCAGCAACTCTACCAGTTGCGCCACCGTGCTGCGTAACTGAAACCCTGTGTACATAATTTTGCTCCACCACATGAGATGCGAATGACAGAAAACCATGACCTTGCCATTGATGTGTTAATAAGCAGAGATGGTTCCCTCAGATAAGACATCCTACGAAGATCCAAAATATTCAGGTAATCAAAGAATTTAAAATAAAGATAGCTCTTCCTCCACCCATGTTTATCTGCCATTAAAAGGGTGAGTCAAGACCAATCTCCCCCTCCTCACCCCTCTAACTTCACTGGTATGACTCAAACCTGTGTCTATTTAAGGCAGAATAGGCAACTTTGTGATTAAAACATTTAGGTTGTGGGTCTGTATAGTGGAGTAATTACAGTAGGTGTGGTCCAGCTACTATCAGCATGCTTCATGCTCTCTGCAGTAAACACTGAAAACAAGCACACACTTAAACTCACGAGACTTTGATGACGTTTATAGAAAGACGTTATAGAATGAGCTTTTTTCTTCTTCACCAGGACACCAATAAAGAGGCTTGTTTGGGTGTGGTTGAACCCAAAATAGAAAAAGGAAAAGAAAGAAAACTGATCCTTGTTTTAGCTTGATTGAATCTTCCAGAGTATTTAAACATGAAACGGATGAAAAAGTTGTAGAATACAATTTAAGAAGACTTAAGCACAAACATCACTGCTTTGTTCTACTTTTCAAGATGAACTGGATGTTAGCTCATTACAGGCAAATGGACCAATAAGCTGAAGCTCTGAAGATCTGAAGCTCTCAACCTTGACCTCTCTAAGTGGCTTCAAACATCTGTTAAGTTCCTGGCAAAGACCAACGCAGACATGTTCCTGTTTTAGCTGGTTTTGTTTCATTTTTCACACCATTTTATTTTCACTTATTAGTCTCAGTTTGTATGTATCCTTTATGATTGTCTACTATTGTCATCACTCTTTGTTAAAATCAGGTCTCTCTTGTAAATGAATCCCCGAGGCTCAATGGGAATAACCTGAATAAAGAAAGGTTGAATGAAAAAGCTGAAAACACTGATCACTAGGAAACATAAAATTATATTTTCTAGACTTCTGGAATAATATATTTTAGACTGATGAGCCCAAACACAGCATATCAGCACAATCCCCTCTGACCAATGGTCAAGCACGGTGGTGGTAAGTTGATGATTGGGCTTGTTTTGCAGCCACAGGACCTTACAGCCATTGAGTCAAGCATGAAGTTCTCCGTAGAGCCAGGTGTTCTAAAGTCAAATGAGAGGACATCAGTCCAACAGCTGAAGTTTAGACCAAACAGGGATGTGAGGCAACAACACAAATGTAGTTATTTATAAAGCACATTTAAAATCAACAGGTCATCACCAAATGGTTGTACAGTCATTTTTACATAAATGACAAAATCAACTATAAAAACAAGTAAAAAAATCAAATGTAGAAAACATCACAAAAAGAAGTAAAGAGGAAAACATTGTGTCAACAAGGGGTACACTGATGTCCCCCGTCACTGAGGGATTTGAAAAGTGGATGATTGTAGTTTTTGAGATTAATGTTTGTCCGAACTGGAATTGAACAGGACATGCAAGTAAACCTTAATGATTTTGGTGCAAGATATTCAAGTGGGGAGTTACACCATGTAGAAGAACAGAGGTTGTTTATTTGTTTGTTTGTTTTGGTGCTGAGTGACGGATCCTGGCGAATGGAGATAGCAGTTTTATGTAACACTAGGAACAATGACGGAGCCAGGGGGTGGCCAACGGTGGACTTGGCCACTATAGGTTAATTTTCAGCCACCATTACCATTTGAGGAAACTATGTTTTAAAGCACTTTTCAAGTTAACAACAAAGTCCATGCTCAATAATCCAGGTGTACAATCCCAACATTTTTCAGTCAGTTCATGTGGACAGTTTCTTTTTTTTTTTTTTTGTGCTGAAACGTTTCGCCTCCGGTCCGGAAGGCTTCATCAGTCACACAAGAAAACTGATTCTTCCCCAAACAGCTTACTCCAAAGTGGAACAAACCAGTTCTGCTTGTGATAAGATGGTCTCTTTGGTACGCCCCCTCCTCCATTGCCAGCCCTCTTCCTTGATGACAGAAAGACTTCCTCAGTCTGAGGTGCTGTATTCAGCTCAGTCTTGTAAATAGCACCTTCTCAGACTGAGAATGAGGAAGTCTTGCGGATGAAAGACAAAACGTTTCTACTTTTTTTGTTGTTTTGCTTTGTTTTATTTTTTTGCATGTCCAGCGGACCAGATTTAACTTTTTTAGATTTTTCTACCTGGATTATTGAGCATGCATCAGGATAAAATAAATATAGTGTTCCTACTTAGTGGTATTTGACCTATTGCGTGGGTGGGGGAGGGGTGTGGAACGTAACCCCCGCGATAATCAAGGGACTACTGTATAACATGGCAGATTGCTCCAAAGTTTGGGAGCCATGGTCTCCTCTGAGCTTTATATAAATATGAGGATGACCAAAAGCAACAGATCAGATGAACTCATGGTCTGCACAGAAACACGAGGCTGAAGCAGATTCAAGGAGGCAAGAAGACCATTCAGATGTTTATATGTCAACATGTGAATTTAAAATCAGTTCTACAGAATAATGATCCCAAAGACAGCAGCAAATCTACAACCAAACCTGATGAAATGCTGTGGTGGGACCTGAGAGAGCTGTGAATATCTTAACCTCAATGAACTGCAACAACAATGCAAAGAGGAGTGGGCCACCTTTGAACAAGTTTAACATAAAACTTGTATTTGCACAATGTGATATTTGTGAATGTAACACTTGACAAAGGTTTCCTGAAGGAACCATGTTGTTCTTGTAACAGCGAGCAAACACATGAAACATCTGCCTTTCCTGACCCAACCTGGGCTCGAACTCTCAACCTCAGGATTACAAGACCGTGGCTGACCACCCTGTGGTTTCACTTAGCCTTCAGAGAGGCACAGGCCTAAAACAATATGGTGAGAGAAAACCCGAAAGAGTCATTAAAAATAATTTAGTTTGACAGAGAAGGACTTGCTGAAGCAGACCTGCTGAATTTAAGTTTGCGGTTACGCTGCAGGACTTGGTGAGACGGCTGCACAGCATGTGAAACTTGGACAGCAGCAGAGCCACAAAATGTTATCTTCATCCTTTAAAATTGAAATCCTTTAAATGATCATCGGCCTTCTGAAAGAAGCTAATTATTTTGAATCTTTATATGAAAAATAAATCGTTTTAATAGAACCCAATTATTTCTGTATGAGCTGAACTTCCTCTGAGGTTTCCTTTGTCCCAAACTGACGTAAGAATTCTGCAGCTCAGAAATGCAGGACTGCTTGAAATCAAGTTGACAAAACAACCAAGAACAGACTTCAACTCCTTCATTACATCAGAATTCAATTTATAAACTAAAATGTTGATATATCACCTTTCAGACCAGAGTTTTAGACTAAAACTGTTTTATGTTGAAAAATGACAGATTTGTATCTGTTCTGCTCAAACCACGTGAGTTTGAGTTGTGGATGATTGAGCGACTCTAGAGGAGACTTTAACACAAACATTAATCAAACTGGCAGAATTATTGTCATTGTTGAGTTTTCTAAGATCAGATGGCTGTGGTGGCCGTCTTGAATTAGACTGGCACCAGAAGTTAATGGGTTGTAAAGAACCACCAGAGATTATTTCCTGAAAGCTTCATGAAAATCCATCCATTGTTTTTGTTTTTTTTAGATATTTTGCTAACCAACAAATATGACTATAAATAGTTAATGGCAAAATTTAAGCAAATTTGCCCCACCAGTTGGTACTCAGAGTATATGTTGGTGATCAGCCTCTCGGCTACTACCACACAGAATTTTAGCTTGGTATCTTTCAAATAAACAGTTTTAGCCATTTTTGTGCCATGTCAGGTCAGAGGGCTGTGGTGGCCATCTTGAATCGTAAATCGTAACTCTAAAAGTGAACTGGTTGTAGGTGTCAACCCACTGACAACTTTCTGAGAGTTTCATTCAAATCTGTCTGGCAGTTGATGAGATATTTTACTAACAGACAGCGTGAACAAACACTCAGAAACAAGAGGAAAAAACATCATCATCCTCCTTTATCTTTTGGGCGTGTGATAAAAAAAATCTTAGTTTGACAGGAACAAGATGCTCAGCTCCAAATAATAGACGCTCCTCTTCACACGCGCGCGCATTACGACCCAAACAATGCAGCCAGCTGATTGGCTGAAAGTTGGGTGCGGTGGTTTAAATGAAGCTCAGAAGCTGAGCTAGTCCAGTGGTCCTGCAGCTGACACACAATCCTGCTCAGCTCCAGTACAAGTCCGAACCGAACCGGATCATGCTCGCTGCGTGTTTGGAGGTGCTGGGCCTGGTGCTGTGCGTCCCGGGCTCCCTGCTGGTGATGGTCGCGTGCTGGCTGCCCATGTGGAAGGTGTCCGCCTTCATCGAGTCCAACATCGTGGTGGCGCAGATCATCTGGGACGGGCTGTGGATGTCGTGCGTGACGCAGAGCACGGGCCAGAGCCAGTGCAAGGTGCACGACTCGGTCCTGGGCCTGGCGCGGGACCTGCAGACTGCGCGCGCCCTCACGGTCATGTCGGCCGTGCTGGGGGTGGTGGCGCTCACGGTGACAGTGACGGGCGCGCAGTGCACCAACTGCGTGAAGGACGAGGCGGTGAAGGCGCGTGCGGTGCATGCGGGCGGGCTGCTGTACGTCCTGGGCGGGCTGCTGGTTCTGGTTCCGCTCTGCTGGATCTCGAGCAACATCATCGCGGACTTCCACAACCCGCAGGTTCCGGCGGCCCAGAAGCGCGAGATCGGAGCGGCCATGTACGTGGGCTGGGCCGGCGCGGCGCTACTGCTGCTGGGAGGGACGCTGCTCAGCTGCTCCTCGTCCCGGCGGCTCCGGGACCAGAACCGGGACAGGGTGGACACTTACTACGTCCCCGCAGTGACGAGCGGCGGCTCAGAGAAGCTCAACTATGTCTGAACTTCACGCGATACTTTTGTTCTGGAGCTGAAACTCTGGAGAATGGAGGCGCTGGTTTGGTGTCCAGGCCGGGAAAAGATGGACTGGTGTCAGGACAGACATTTATTTTTATAGACTTTTTGTAACAATATATATTTGGCAGTCAACAAAATGTAATATTTTTTAATTGATCATAAATGTTTGAGTTTTGATGGACTAAAGAAGCAGCAGAACTTTATAATAAAATAACTTTTTGTAATTATCAGCTCTTTTCAGGTTTTTACTTGTTAAATACTCTTATTAAGGCCTGATCAAATTTGTTTAATAGAGATAATGTCTTAACCCATACCTCTGTTCATTTGGTTGTTAGCAAAATATCTCATGAACCACCAAACATTTTATCCTGATGCATGCTCAATAATCCAAGTAGAAAAATCTAAAAAAGTTAAATCTGGTCCTCTGGACATTCAAACAAAACAAAAAAATTGTAGAAACGTTTTGCCTTTCATCCGAAAGACTTCCTCAATCCGAGGTGCTGTATTCAGCTCAGTCTTATAAATGGCACCTTCTCAGAGTGGATCAACCAGTTTGCTGCTGACAACCAAAAACCAGCTGCTCACATGATCAAGGACCATCAGCCTAACAATGGATCATTAGCACCAACCATTTTAATAAAACTCTCAGCACATGTACAACTGATTAACTTGCAGAGTCAGCAAAAGATGGCCGCCACAGCTAACTATCAAAATGTTCATAATTCAGTACTGAACTAAAGTTTGATGATGGTAGCTGAGAGTTATTCACTATACTTTTATACATGAAACATAAGTCAATTCTGAGTCTGTTAGCAAAATATTTAATGAACTGCTGGATGGATTTGAATGAACATTGCAGAGTCAACCTGATTGAATTAGCTGCCAGTGACATTAGTCAACACAAAAATGGCTTAAATAAGTAAAAAATTACAGATGTTGAGATAAATTGGGTGCAGTTATTATTCCGAACATATTCTGAGAGCTAACACAAGATTTGACAAATTCTCAGTTCTTTTTTAAGAGGATTTTCATTTAAAACTCGACATGAAAACACGAGTCTGTGCGTGTTAATAAAACATGTTTAAAAAAATGAAAGGTGTTGTGTGAACATATCACAAGAGCTTGTTTTTTGTTTTTGTGTTTTATTTAAATTTTTAAGGTGAAGTAAAATCAAGTTATTTAAAACCAGGAAGAATGCTGCAGTTTGAAAATAAAGCAGAAAAAAAACAAACATCAAAAACCAATCCACCAAAATAAACCTGATGTTTTGGTACTTCCTTTTTTTATGGGGGGGTCTGGAGCAAACAGATGTTTAACACAATGCCAAGCAGGAAAGACAGCAATGACCTCAGAGAAGCAACTGTTAAGACAGTTCCCATTTTACAGAAAAATGACCACGAGTGGAAAACATTTCAAGACAGTTCCCCAGGAGTGGACACCCCAGTAAACTCACCCGAAGGTCAGACAGTGCAGTAACCAGAGAAATTGCACTGAGCCCAAAATCTCCATGTCAAGACTTTACAGGCCTCAGGGTGAAGTTTGTGACAGGAACAACAGGAAACGGTTTGTTTGACAGGGCAGCAGCAGAACACAGGAGCACTCAGGTTTGTAAAGTTTGATCTGAATGAACACAAGACTTCTGGAAAAAGAGTCCTTTATCTGGAACAGAGTCCTTTATGTGGACACGTGGTTATTTAGACTTGTTCTGCAGCCACAGGACTAGGCACCTGCAGAGATCATGACTCCTGTAGACCAAAGGATTCTAGAGTTCATCTGTCGGACCCAACTGGGTCATGATGCAACAGAACAATGATCCAAACGCAGCAGATGATCTGCAGCAGACCGGCTGAAGAAGAATCTAGATGAACTGAAGCAATGCTGCAAAGAAGAAGGGGCTACAATTCAACCATGTGAGAGGAGGATGAAGAAAACCACTATAAACAGCTGTAGCTGCTAAAATATTCAGGTTTTCACATTTAGGTTTTGTTTTTGTTTAATGTTTAATTGTTATCTGTGAATCAAAGGAAATAAAGAAGAGCCATAAAATGATGTGAAAATAATCCGGTCTTTGACCCCCCCCCCCCCCCACACACACACACACACACACCACCACCACGACGGAGCACTAAATGTGCAGCTTAGCTGGTTTGAACAATGCACTCTGCGTCGCCACAATCAGCAGGGAGTCGTCCCACTGTCAGGATGCTGGACCACAGCTAGAGCTGCCGGGCAATTAGAGGCCTCGCATCGGCTACAAAGAGGAAGTGTGGGCACACACAGACACGCACAAACACGTGAACCACAGCTGGTAGGTCACACACACACAGAAGCAGGAAGGTGTCAGAGGTTTGATCTGAAGAGTTCATATTTTAAACGTAATAAAACCCAGTTTGTGTCAGTGTCATCATGTTTCTGTACCATCTGCACACAATCACATAAAAACACCAACAAGTCACAGAGAGAGACACGAGGTGTGCGGAGCAAGCAGTTTCCTCAGTCTTTGGCAAAACTTACATAATCCACCAAAAACTGTTTTAGTTCAATCAGCTAAGAATGACCCATTCAGAGTAAAAGTTGAGGATCAGCAGAGGTCGTGTCTGGAGGAGAAAGAACATGAAGGCACTCTGTCGCCCTCTGGTGGTCCAACATGTTGATGGCACGTCAGATTAATTTAAACAAAGCCATAAACACATTTATCCTGTTACAGTGAATTACCTACATCTTATTAAATGTGATGTATCAGAAAAAAAATCCATGTAGTCATCTGCAGGGCGCCTCAGAATCCCTTTGTTCATATATTAAAATTCTGTTATGCTCGCTCCATTCCTGAAATCACGTTCTCTTGTGTTAGCTTTAAATATTATGTCTAAATATATTTCACAGCGCTGACACATGAATAAATAAATCCTTCTGGTCCCAGGTTCATCACTCTCTTTGAACTACATTCCAGAGTTGGGATTTGCCAAGCTGTGCGATTAAAACGTACATCCACTCATCAGGCTGTTATTTTGAGCTTTTACTGGTAATTATTTGAATCATTCCCTTTCCATTATGGAAAAATTATACATGTTTAAACTGTAGATTGTCTCTAATCCCCACAGGGTCAAAGGTATACATTTTGAAATATAAACACACATTCATCTAAATAGTTTTAACTTCTCAGTGTTGATCCTGAAATATCTTGTTCAGCTGCACTCAGTGGACTGATCAATACTCGCATACTCAGTGGACTGATCAATA